TAGAGGGATTAAATTGTCACCTTTTGAATTTCATAGATTTCATAGACATCAGGGCTGGAAGGGACCTCGGAAGATCATCGAGTCCAGCCCCCCGCCCAAAGGGCAGGAAGTCAGCTGGGGTCATAGGATCCCAGCAAGATAAGCACCCAGTTTCATCTTAATGAAACATCTTAATGTTTGGTATGCCTCCCAGAATCTTGCCAGCGGGGTAGAGGGAACAGATTACTGTAAATTTGGGAAAATCTGAAATTTGAGAACATATTATCGCCTTGCACTCTGTTTTGTCCTCCCTACACAGGTTCGCTGCACCTTTCCAGAGTCTCCCGCTTGATGCGCCGATCCACAACTTTAAAACGGGTGACCAGGTCCTGGTACAGAAGTGGAGAAAAGACCCTCTTGCGGAAAGGTGGGAGGGACCCTACCAGGTGCTGCTGACTACACACACAGCTGTTCGCTTGTCAAACAGCGATAAGTGGACCTATTGCCCGAGGGTGAAACCTTTTCATCAGGAGGACACCAATTCCCAGGGTGTGGTCACTCTGGAAGCTGATAACACCCGGGAACAAAAAGCCAACAAATGGAAAAGTGAACCTGCTGGAGATTTGAAGTTACGCTTGCAAAGATGTGGACCCTGATCTATTTGTTGGGACTCTTGTCCCTTCTAGGTATATCGAACCCAGCAGATATATATACCTGTTGTAAGTGTTCCCAAAATCTGCGTACAACCCTTAGTAAGGCTAGCTACGAAACTTTTAAGTCTGCCATAATCAATGCCCACCTATTTCCCATTTCCTCATGTTGCTCACGTCAAGAAATTATACTAGTACTGGTATTCAGTGCTGGTACAATGGCAAGGTGTATAAAGCCAGACTCAAAACTCTGGTCTGTAATCCTTAAAGATCGGTTTTCAAGCCTCCAATCCTTTACAACTGTGAACCCCTTCCTTACTACTATCTGGAAACCTAAAGGCCCACCTACAAACACATGGGTGGGAAACACATGGGTGGCCCTTCTCAGAGATTCAGCCCAGGCTCTAACTAACCACAGTTGTCTTTTATGTGCGCTTACTCCTGTTTCTAGTGATGAGGGAGTTCCCTTCTTGCCTATCCCCCTAAATAAGACAGGTATAGTCTCAGACTGTACACTTCTCTCTGAGATATAATGGTTTGGGAAGGGTTTTGGTGATAAAGATAAATGGGTCTATCTGCATTTCCCAAAAGGGAGGTGGGTTTAAAGTGGGACAATCAAGGTGTAATGAGACATGGATTTCTAATGAAATCGCCCCTCAGAAGGGTACATGGACTTGCGCCAATGTCTCGTACCCCAAGTTTGATGATTGCAGCTGCCTATTGGGAAAGGAGTGGATTTCAGTTTGGGGCATTAATTGCACT